AAAAAAACTATGACACATGGAAAAAATACAAAGGAGTTAAATTACACGCGATCTAATAAATTACTAAAGGTGAATATACACTGAGCGAACAAACATGAACAGCGAATACGAACGGATGTTACTCGAATCTCACATTTCATATTTTATGTATAATTAATAATAAATATCTGAATATGTATTCACAGAGAGAGAATTCTTTTTCCGATATTTATCTCATTTCAAATACAAAATTTTCTAGGAATTGTAAACAAAAAAAAAAAAAAACCTAACGCTTTGGTGAAATATTTTTTGTCGATTTGGCAACACTGAGTTCGGTTGCCATCCGTCATTACAGGTTATTATTACTAAACGTCGTTCAACATTTTGCAATGCGTTTTTAAATATCTTTACCCCAGTATAATATCTTTGTAAATATATATACTACGCAATTAGTTTAATTAGATAATATATAAACGTAGTCATGACGGATAAATGGGAACTGGATCATCGCGACAAAAAGAGAATCAGGGAAGTGAAAAGGAAGGCTCGACCAGGTAAAGAAAATGGAACTTGTGATTTATAACCTACAGTGTAAAAACGCCAAGATCGTACATCGATATTCGCCTTCCTTCGACTTTTTCGTCTCTTCTCATTTATCTATTACACGCAGCTTTTAAATGTCCGAGCTCTCTCTTGGCGTATAAATCAAAATTATGTCGTTCTCTGATTCTCTCCCGTACGTTCGTCTCAAGGAAGAGCGAGAAAGATCTATCGAATACTACTACTCTTCCCCTCCCCTTCTTCCCAAAGACCTTGGATGACGATGATGTAATTTAATTTCGCGATAGTCTTAATTCATTTACCGTTTGCAGTCATTCGCTAATTTAATTTGATATATGATCCATGTTGAATAATTGTCGACATTAATATTCTTGTAGCATTATATAGTTCAAAACAAAGCTAATTTAAATGACAATCACGAGATCTGAGGATTAGAAATTCATTGTTGAAAGTTTATTTATATATATTTTTAGAGCTTGCCGATAAGATCGCATGGACCCAGCACAATTATTGTAAGAATTTTCGAAAATTTTGGGAATTTGAGGACAATGCCGAACGAATTAATGAATCCGACGTGACTACGGAAGATTTTGTAGAAAAGTATGAGAAACCTTACAAACCTGTGATAATACGAGGTGTTCAAAATAGTTGGCGAGCCCAGCACAAGTGGACTATAGAGGTTTGTTCTCTTATCACGATTCTAATATATACAATTAGTACATGTTAATCCAGTGTATTTATATTCAAAAATCTATAACATTTGATGATATATAACTTGACTTGATTCTCTGTGCTTTGCAAATATGAAATAATTAGAAGCAAAGATGTTTTTTAAATATTAGACCAATGAATGTAATACACTAAACATTATTGATAAAATTGATTGTACAAAATTCTACAATATTTTTAATTTCTGAATTCTATTTCCTTATGTGATTACAGAAGTTAGCAAAGAAATATCGGAATCAAAAGTTCAAGTGCGGAGAAGACAATGAGGGATACAGTGTAAAAATGAAGATGAAGTATTACATTCGTTATATGTTTAATAATGAAGATGATTCTCCCTTATACATTTTCGATAGTTCGTTCGGTGAACATCCAAGGCGAAAAAGGTTGTTGGAAGATTATATAATTCCTAGATATTTCCGGGATGATCTGTTTCGTTATGCCGGAGAACATCGAAGACCCCCATACCGTTGGTTTGTTATGGGTCCTGCAAGATCTGGTGAGTATTTTGGAGCCAATATATATGTTGTGTAATTATTATAGATCTTTTCGCCTCAATAAAACGCTACATTATATCTCTTTCTTTTTTATAATAATTTGCAACAAACATTAAGTCAGAAATCAATAATTCATTACATATTTCAATAAGAAATCACATAATAGTGTGTGTGTGTGTGTGTCACACACATTTAGTAAGATTGTAAGAAGATTGTAATTAATACAATGTTCGTATATAACATTTAGTTGTGATAATATTATTATAACAGGTACAGGAATACATATAGACCCATTAGGTACCAGTGCATGGAATGCATTAATTTCTGGTCATAAACGTTGGTGCCTATTTCCTACGCATACTCCTCGCGAGCTTTTAAAAGTAACGGCAGCCGAGGGTGGTAAGCAGAGGGATGAAGCTATTACATGGTTTTCTATTGTCTATCCCCGCACAAAGCTACCTACGTGGCCGAAAGATTGCCGCCCGATAGAAATTCTACAGGTTCCTGGTGAGACCGTTTTTATTCCTGGTGGTTGGTGGCATATTGTCTTAAATCTTGATCAAACTATAGCAGTGACACAGAATTTCTGTTCACGCACGAACTTCCCGGTGGTTTGGCACAAAACGGTAAGAATCCGATGCAAAACGTAACATGTAACATCTTATCTATGATAATAGATTGAAATATTATCAAAAAAGTTGCATGCGCAAGAGTATTTAGATTCATGGTTGTAACAAAAAAGTAATTTACAAGCCTGTAACATTAAACAACTTGTTGCAACCAGGTGCGAGGGAGGCCGAAATTGTCGCAGAAATGGTTACAAGTACTCTATGATAAAGAACCAGAACTGGCAGCGCTAGCGGAAAGCGTAGATGTAAAAACGGACACTGGTGTTGCCAGTGATTCCTCGAGCGGTTCTTCAAGTAGTTCGTCGAGTAGTACTAGTAGTAGTCAATCAGAGGATAGCGAGGACGATAGTGGTCAAGAATCACTTACCGCGCATAAAAAGAAAAAGAGGTATATAGTGAAAACCTTTCTATTAATCAATTAAAATTTTATAATTACAATGTTTTTTTCTTTTTTTTTTTTTTTTATATATATAATTGATTTATTTTTCAGTAGCAATTATGAGCATATAACATTAAGAGATAACTGTTTTAAAATGTTCGCATATTGTTTTAAAATTTTCACAGAAGAAGATTGAATAACAGCCAACCCTGACAATATCCAGTATTTGGAACCTACAGAGACCTCAGACTGTACAGTATTAACCGACAATTATTATTTGTACTAAGAATAAATATTATAATTATTATGATTACGACCATATCTTTATGTTCTTAATAAAATAAATATTATATAACACATAGCTTTTTTTTTGTTCCTTTCAGATAACATTTTATCTAAATCCTTGTAGCATTTAGGCGTATGATAATGCACATAATTCCTATTTCAGACGGATTTTCTTAACATTGTAATTCAATTCATTTTGTTCAATTTAACATATTGTCCTACATTTTTTATAATTATCACATACATTTACTTAACATTTATTAAAAATATGCAGTCGAGTCAAAGAATATAAAAAAGTTATTTGAAGAGTATATTCTCAATAATACTATAAAAAATCAATATAATAGCAATGTATAAAAAATACGAACTAAACATAACAGATGTGGTCAAGTGCATTATCATTTAAACTGTATAATTGCAAATTAAATACAATATTTAGTGGTATGATGCGTGTTAGCTTTTCAATGAGTTGCTCCTGTGGAAGGTCCTTGTGTCTCGTTTACAGTAATTCCACAATCTCACAGTTCCATCGCTTCGTATCGACACGATGACCATGCAAAGCACCAAAGTGGAGTAAACAACATAGAAGCAAGTAATAACATATATAAATTAAATATTCATACACATTAGACTTTAATAGATTTATGCAAAATTGATTATTAAGTCTTTTTGTCATTTTGATTCGATTAACAAAAACAATTTTATATATTGTCTTCCATAAAAAAAAAAGTACCTACAAAGTTAGGTAAACAAACGATCTCGTATATTTAAATTTGATTATCTTCAAAGAAGAGCTTAATTTTTAGTTTTTGGCAATTATTACATTGGTATATGTAGATATAAAGCGCAAACAAAAATATAGATTTTACATTTATAGAATATTTGTTTGCGCGTTTATATTTGATTTTAAAGCATTTTTATAAATATAATACTGCGTAAAATGACCCAATGTATGATAACATTTGATGAATGTTATAAGCATAATAAACATGGCCCTACCGCCACATTATATTTACATTATAATGTAGAATACATTATTACGTTAAACTCAATTAGACAAAACATGCGCATTACCGGAAAAAATAAGAAAAAAGAAATATATATATATATAAGCTAAATGCACAACACATTAACATACAAGCAAAAAGCAAATAAAGTTAAAGGGAAACTGTGGAGATAGACATCGATAATGAAGAATCGGGTATACGCCACAGCTTCACCTCTCCAGAGCTGAAATCAACATCCGAGACCGTTATTTCACCTGGAATATCGTAGCATGGTCCATAGCTGAACCCAAGTATCTAATTCAATCATGTATTTTAATCTCATAAATGATCTGCAAACAGCTACCTATTTGCTAACTATTTTGGACACGGCCGAATATAAAAGTATCAAGATATTCTTTTACTTACTTGCTCGCTGTAAATATGTGCTGTTGGTTGGTCGCGATAGCATTGATGGCGGAAGTGTGCGCCCGAACTTCTCCGATAGGTGTGCACTCTCCCGAATAATCCTTGGGAACGGACCATGCCTTGAGTATACCACCGCGACATCCAGAGATCATTACGGAACCGTTATTTATCATACACAATCCCAAGATCCAATCTTTATGGGCGTTATTGAGAGATTGAACCAACTCCATTTTACTCAGATCCCATCGTTTAATGCACATATCTCTAGAGCCTGAAAAATAATTCACATGAAAAGTTTTTGTATATTGATTACATGTTGATAACCGAAACGAGAATGTACCGGAAAATAGCGTGGAATCGATCGTAGCTAAACATTGAACCCCATCATAATGCGGTGGCGCTAAACTGATGGACGAGCCGGACATATTCGGCTCGGCTAGAGATATCAGATGATCCTTACTACCCGCTATCACTCTGCCATCCTCGGCGACAGCCAAGCACATAACGGCCGCTGTGTGCGGCATGTTTAATTTAGCAGTATACGTCAATTTACGAAGATCCCATATTTTGACTTTATCGCTGGATGCTGTATACAATTCCTGCTCATCCAAGCTGAGCGCCAGATCATTAATCGTCGTTTCCCCTACGGGAACTTGCAGCATCCTGGACGGAGTTGACAATGCAATCGGGCCGGTCTGGGTCTGACCCGAGGAGAATAGCGTCTTTACACAGCTGCCGGCTCTTAAATCCCAGACTTTAACGTATGCCGCGGACACGCTGAATAGAAGCCGATGCGTAGCAGAATATTTCACGGCGACCACGTTATTAGGATGTCCGCTTAAAGTCATACTCTCGATTCCCGTTTCTAAATCCCATACCTTCACGGTGCGATCTGAAAATTCGCGGGGTAATATTTTAACTGTGCACGCAATTATTATGTTAAAATTTTCGATATCACATTCACGTACCTTTCGAGCCGCTGAAAAGTAGATCCGAAGTCACGCATATAGTGAGGACAGCTTTGCTGTGTCCTTCCGCTACGTGAGAACATTGCAAAATGGCTCGCGGTTGTATCTGGAAGAACCATATTTAAAAAAAAACTGCCTCAGAAGAGAGAATTAAAAAGAGATCGTTAATCTGCCCTTTTTACCTTGCCCTGATACTGCGAGATAATTCCTTTCATCGGTTGCGGCTCAGACGCGATTGGTTGTCTACTCGCAGTTAGTCTCGAGAATACATTTTCTTCGCGGCTATTGAATCGTCTGTACGTAGTCGGCGATCCAGGAGGCGAAGACACATCCGTATGGGTTACCTGTTCCCTGAGTAGGAGCGTTTGTTATGTTAGCGTGTTAGTCAGCCGGCATATAGCTATTAAGTTAAGCTAATTATAATAATCATGCACACTTGAAAAATTAAATGAAAACATGCATGCGCGAAAAAGAGGTGCAGTAAAGTATCATATTAATGAAGCTTTATCAAGAAAGTTTATATAATATAAGGATAGTGCGCACAATCAAGCACAATTATTAGTTTCAGCCATTATCGAATGCAAATTTCATAAAAGTAAGAAACAAGTATGTTGCGTCAAAAGGAGATTCTTTGACAGCTATCGTATTTGAGCTTCTTATTTCAACGTTCGTTATTTATTTCTTTATTTTATATTACAGAGAGAAAATAACTCTTACATCTATATACATATTGAAGAATATTTTGTATAAATTAATTCTAAATCTAATCTTTTCTCGTTGTAATCGTTAACAATATGTTAATATAAGATGAAAAGTCATCTGGATGAAATGTTATATCGTGTTGTCAGATTTTTTGCCAAAATATATATAGATATAATTGTATATAAAATAATATATATACATCTTACTTATTTTTAAACATATATAAATATATTAAAAATGCCGTTTGCGTTTGAAAACAAGATGTACAAAAGTAAGATTTAGTGTTTTTTTATCTTTACACACGCTGTGTGTTATATCATATATATCCACATGTAAAAAATCTTATTTATTTTACAATATATAAATAATGCTTAGAAATATTTATTGAACATCTCATTTGATAAGCTCAAAGATATTTGGTATACAATGGAAAGCAATATAACAGATGCTTTCCTTGTAATATAATTCCACTTATGCTGTTTTATTATCATTTTTTTTTTTTTTTTGTTACAACAACAGATCGATCTATCTCAAACTAGTTTATTTCTCTCACAAAACCTGCAGCATTTAACATCATTTGGAGCTCACACTTATTTTTTTGTGTATACTTTATGTGTATCTGTGTGTATGTATGTAATAATTATTGGATTTTATATTTATAGGCACAAAATACTTGATTCCTATAATCTCAAACAAAAAATCAACAAAATAAGGTTTCATCTCGAGGAAATAAAAATATTCAATAGTGCATGGAGTAGAGCATCAAGACAAATATATGCAAGGAATACAAGAACAAGAATATGCTGCAGGACAATCACTCACATGGAGCCTCCACCTGGATGAATCGGCCGTCGCAAAGCTCTGGGCGAAGTGCTGTCACGACGACTCAAAGTTGGCGATCCGCCGGTACTACCATATTGATTTCGTGTTAACACCAGTCCTCTGGTATAAAATTTAGTCAAAGGTAATGAATTGCAATTAGTCAATTTTTCTACACTTTCACAAGCAAACAAGGTGCGATAAAATTAAAAAAAAGCGATCGTACTTGGGCTACTTACTTTAGGCTACCTGGTGCACTGGGGACTCTAGTAAGAGATGTTGCGTCAAAAGGAGATTCTTTGACAGCTATCGTATTTGAGCTTCTTATTTCAACGTTCGTTATTTATTTCTTTATTTTATATTACAGAGAGAAAATAACTCTTACATCTATATACATATTGAAGAATATTTTGTATAAATTAATTCTAAATCTAATCTTTTCTCGTTGTAATCGTTAACAATATGTTAATATAAGATGAAAAGTCATCTGGATGAAATGTTATATCGTGTTGTCAGATTTTTTGCCAAAATATATATAGATATAATTGTATATAAAATAATATATATACATCTTACTTATTTTTAAACATATATAAATATATTAAAAATGCCGTTTGCGTTTGAAAACAAGATGTACAAAAGTAAGATTTAGTGTTTTTTTATCTTTACACACGCTGTGTGTTATATCATATATATCCACATGTAAAAAATCTTATTTATTTTACAATATATAAATAATGCTTAGAAATATTTATTGAACATCTCATTTGATAAGCTCAAAGATATTTGGTATACAATGGAAAGCAATATAACAGATGCTTTCCTTGTAATATAATTCCACTTATGCTGTTTTATTATCATTTTTTTTTTTTTTTTGTTACAACAACAGATCGATCTATCTCAAACTAGTTTATTTCTCTCACAAAACCTGCAGCATTTAACATCATTTGGAGCTCACACTTATTTTTTTGTGTATACTTTATGTGTATCTGTGTGTATGTATGTAATAATTATTGGATTTTATATTTATAGGCACAAAATACTTGATTCCTATAATCTCAAACAAAAAATCAACAAAATAAGGTTTCATCTCGAGGAAATAAAAATATTCAATAGTGCATGGAGTAGAGCATCAAGACAAATATATGCAAGGAATACAAGAACAAGAATATGCTGCAGGACAATCACTCACATGGAGCCTCCACCTGGATGAATCGGCCGTCGCAAAGCTCTGGGCGAAGTGCTGTCACGACGACTCAAAGTTGGCGATCCGCCGGTACTACCATATTGATTTCGTGTTAACACCAGTCCTCTGGTATAAAATTTAGTCAAAGGTAATGAATTGCAATTAGTCAATTTTTCTACACTTTCACAAGCAAACAAGGAGTTTAAAAGCGATCGTACTTGGACTACTTACTTTAGGCTACCTGGTGCACTGGGGACTCTAGTAAGAGGATGATTATAATTCTGATTCTGATCTTCCGCTTTCGTCATATTCTCAGGACTAACATGTATACCATAAAGAAGTTCTTGCGGCTGCGTTGTTCTTCTTCTGACTTTGCTATTACGCTGTTTTTCTTCACCGAGTATGATTTGGCTATAACTTTCGCTGCTATATGCAATACAATATATCATGAGATTTAAAATGATGAAATACTCGAAAAATGATGTCGAAAGTAATGACTTACTTGTCGGGAGATGAGCTTCTTGAGCTAGCTGGACTATAAGTTGATATATTATTCTGATTATTGGTAAGAGACAAAAGATCTCGATCGCGTAAAACATGCTCGAGTAACTGATGTTGCACATCGCTCTCTTGTGCAACTTGATTAAGCCGTGATTCCATATCTCGTACTTCGAGCTGTTTTTGTGCAGCTACGCAGCTTTGTTCTACAGTAAACGCGAGCATTCGTTGAAGTAAGTATTGTGCTTCGTCCACTGTTCGGATCGTAGAAATGAGCGCTTCGACACCGGGTTCACCTTCCGCCTCACCGTCACCCATTTCGACCATATCCCGTTGACATTCCGCGATACTATCCTATAAAATTTTTGCAAGATTAGTAGCAAAAATGAGACCCACACACACACACACACAATTCCATTAAAAAAGATTGTTATTAGTTATTACCTGCAAGTAACTGATTTTACTCCGCACATTATCGATCTCTTCGTCGATATCGGTGATGTCACCTCTTATGCTTGTAATTTGACTTTTATGTTTTTGAAGCTTCTCCAAATCTCTTCCCAATTCTTCCCTCTCTTGAAGTAGTCTTTCCATTTCTCTCTCCGTTTCTGCGGCAGCTTGTTTCGCCAATGCTTGCTTGGTGACTGTTCTCTCGAATGTTTGCCATCTTTGCTTCAACGCTTTGGGATTAAGTGGTCTGACTGGTGCACGACCGGCGGCCTTTTGGCTCAATCCTCGATCCCTTTTTCGTAGCGCCGTCACCTCCTCCTGCTTACGCCTAAGTACAACTTCCTTCATTCTCTTGTCTGCTTCCAACGTTCTAATCACATTCGCATGCCTGCGACTCTCTTTACGTAATTGCGCTATTTCTCTATTGCGCCTCAGCTCATTTTCTTTGTGTCGTTGCGCCTCTTCCCGCATTTTATTCAAAAGCTTCACCTTCGCTCGTTTCATTTCCGAAAGTTCGTTTCTTAGACCTCTCAACCGATTTTCACTCTGCGACTGATTTTTCAGTAACCTCGCATGTTCCTTTTTAGCAGATTGAAGAAGCCGCATTTCCTTTTGCATGTTAGAGAGCTTCTTCTCATATTCGTCGCGTAATTTTTTCACCTTCTCAGTAGGCGGTGTGGGTTGCTGTTGTAAAGATTGCAACACTTTATCCCTTTCTTCTTGTGTGTTTCTAATACGAGTTTGCAATTGAGCCAATTTATCCTCATAATGCTGCTTCATAGTTTGCAAACGTCTCTGGGAGAGCTCAAGCTCTTGTATCAGACGCTGCTTAACATCGATGTCAGATGTTAGCGCCTCCAACTCACGACCCATAGCCGCTTCTTCTTCGTCTTCTTCTGTAAAATTAATGTATATTGTAATGAAAATACTTGTGTACGAGATATCTTTGCATTCCTTAAATATTGCTATTAACTGTTATGCAGCTACCATAAACATGTAAAAAATGTAACATGCTGCATTTAAACATGCCTTTACGATCCGAGTCATCATCGGAATCATCCTCGCTTACAGAGTCCTGTGCATTCTCCGCATCGTCGATTTCTCCTTCATCTACTGATTTGGCAGTAACGTTAGTGTGACTGTATTGTTCCTTCAAAGCTTTTAGCGTTTCTATCTCCTTTTCAACATCCTTTTTAGCATCGATTAACACAGATGCGGAATCGGAATGGAATGAACTATCCCCATATGGATTTGCAGCGCTGACCTAATTAATATTTTGTTAATATATCAGTCTGATCTATTACATCTTTTAATATTTTATTATAACATAGTATATATAAGTATACCTGCATCTGTCTTTTTTTTAATTGCTGATACATAGCTTCCGCTTCCAATAAACGAGCTCTTAACTCCTCTATTTCTTGAACATAGCCTTGTACCAAACTAGTCACTTGTTCATCACCTCCACTTGTTGCCGCTACCCACTGACCCGTTGCTTTTTCCGCTAATAAAAGAACATTTTTGGCGGTTAATGCTTCAATTGTTTCTGAAAGTGCTTTCACTCTGGTCCGCAGACTCTGTAATTCGCTATTCAACATTTGATTTTCATGCCAGGCATCGTTAACTCCATCTTCACCAACGACTCTCTTGCCTAAAAAAACGAAAAAGGGAATTATTATTATACATAATGTACGAATAACATAATATAATAGCTTTTTATCAAACATGCCTTGTCTATATTCCATCAATTCCAATTGAAGCTGTTGAATTTCTCGTCGTAACGAAGCGATTGTCCGCGAGCTCTTATCCTGGTTAATAGTAACTTTATTCTTTATATTTCTTGCTCGATTCGCATATTTTAGAGTACTTAGAGTTTCCATAAAATCTCTATCGCTCGGCGATACACACGCTATCATAACAGTTTGACTATTTCCTGCAATATCCAATTGAAATATTTGAAGTTGTAATGTTTTATTAGATGCCCTTCATATTTAAAACCACATCTTATATCTGTATTATAACGATATCACAAGCTATATTACCTCCGAGAGAATCTTGAAGTAATCTGGTTAACTTTGAGTCTCTATACGGTATGTGTGAAGCTTTTTTTGTTTTATCACCGAGAGCGGAAATAACGTTACCCAAAGCTAACTGTAAAAAAAACGAGTAATGTACATGATCATACGCTGATATTCCTTTTTTTCCCTTTTTTATAAGAGTCTTACCAATCCACAGTTTATAGAGATGCCTTCCTTTGCTCGATCACCAGTGGCACCCGTTCTCTTTAGCCTCTCAGAACCGGCCAGATCGACAAAATGAAATTTCGCGGTTAACGTTTCAAATTCATTTGTCAGCTCAAGGCCGCTCGTGTCAACGTCCGCGTCCGGATCTTCGACTTTGATGCATCTCTGCTGTTTGATGTATAATGTAAATATAGCGTGCGATCTCGAGGATTGCGTGTTCATTTGCGTGGATCCAGTTGTGCGCGATAACGCGCCTAATCGCAAATACTCCAGCGCTTGTTCAGGACTGGTTACGACGCGCGGTTCCACTCCGGCCAAATGTATATTACCCGCTGTATCCTCGTGAATACGCGCACCGCCTCTCGGCCCTCCCGGCTCTAATAGGTCTTTCAAATCTTCGTTATATAATTCTAGGAATTGTGCTGTAACCTGATGACAAGAAAAATATATTGTCATTAAATTAGCAAAATAAATTTTGCTGACATGCCTTGAACATAATATTTAATATAAAAGTAATAACGTCATTGTATATGATACAAATATATATAAGAACGCTTTTGGAATATACCTTGAACTCCGGAGGCATTTGCGCGCGTTCCTTCGCGCGTTCTTGCTTATCCGCTATTCCATCGAAAAGGTGTCCGATGGCTCTAGGTATGATTCCGATTATATAGTCGTCGATTTCCACATCGAAACCGGTGCCCATGGTGTAAGTTTTCCCCGAGCCAGTCTGCCCATAGGCGAAGACCGTCGCGTTGTATCCGTCCAATGCGCCTTCCACGAGACGATTCACGCATGTTTCGTAAATCGCCCTTTGATCTGATTGAGTATCAAAAACGTAATCATAAGTAAAGGCCTTGTCGGGTCCGAGGAAAACCTGCGGCTCCCCTGGAGGTACTTGAGTACAAATCCTGCACATGTCGATTACTTCGCGAGCTACTTGAGGCCTTATTCTGCAACAAACAATCAATTTTCATGGTAAATTTCTTGCCGATTTGCATGATAAATAAAAATAAAAATAAATAAAATAAATAGAATAAATAAAATAAATAAATAATTCGAAAAACAAACTGATATATATCGTAAGTTTTTTTTACAATATGTTAAAGATCATACACATATTTGTCATGAAAGTTGACGGGGTGCGTGTTGCTTATGGCAAGCGATAATTAAAAACCCACGCACATACATATCGTAAAAGGAGATGTTCGGAGATCGGTATTCGCGATCGGCCAGATGTTGCGCGCAGGATATCGAGTTCTTTTGACATTCAAGTTTCTAATCGCGAGATGTTTCTAATGCGAGAAAAATTCTCCTCCCTTTCCTGTATTTTTCCGTCAGTGACGTATATATGATAGAAAAGTATTCTCAAATTTTTCGATACTCGGAAATTGCAATTATTACGCGATCGTGTGAGTAACACGCGAGAGAGGTATTTTTCCTCCAGCGATATCCTTGACGTTAATGTTTAGACATAAAAGACGTTGAAAGCGCGATGACAGAAGGATGAGAAACATGTAAAAAAAAATATAGTGTATTGTAACAACTTTCTCTTGAAAAGAATCAAATTATTCCTGTGGTTTGGAAAAAATACGCGAGTTCGAATACGCGCGAGATTAATCTCGAACAGTTTCTTCGTTCAAACGACTAAACGTCATCGGCTCTCTTGGCCGAGATGGACCAAAATATACGGATTGAAGCCCAATTTTGCTCTCTCTCTTTCAAATGTACATATATTTACTTACCGTACGGCAACGCGTACGCTCGAATCATCCGCCATCTCGTTATGTATAGTTAGCAGACTATTGCAGGAATCAAGAAGACAGCTCTCGGTGTTAGGCTAGAATTAGGCCAAAACTACTGCACTGAAGGCAAGCGGTTACTGCTCTCCGTTTTGCGACAATGCGACGATGTTATGCCTGCGCACGCGTTGCTAAACGCAGCGACCGTGAAAGACTCGACATTCCTCATGGTTAAGCGAAAGAACGTGAAGCATCGCTTTCGTGACGATGCGATCCATTGTACATATATATGTACATACACATAACGATCAGTTGATAGATAATAGCGTGGGAGTTTTGAAAGCCACTTAATCACCTGTCACAATGTACCATCATTGTTTCTATAGTATGTGCGATAAAATTTATTGAGAAAGGCTATATATTGCGCATGTTGGAGGAAGTAATCATTAGATTCATTAGGAAACGACATAGCATGGTTACAAGCACGAATAAAATGTTCATCGAGGAACGACATCGGGATAGATTTATGCGCGACATTGTCGATGTTATCGATAGTTCGGAAATAATTGCAGAACGCCGACATTATCAACGGTTTAATGTTTACTGTCGGTAATAAAATAATTTGAAAATGTTCATGTTTATTATCCTTGGAATAGCTACATATCTTCACATTTTTAATATTGAAAGTACTGAACAGTATTATCAGAGAGAAGCCTCTCTCTCAAACCAACTTTAATGATAAATTGTTTTAAACCAGCTTTGTTTAAATTTTGTTTAAAAAAATACATTCATATGCTATCTTTTTACATAAAAATAAAGATTTAAGAAATAAAATTGTTACTCAATAATATAAAAAGAATAATTAAGCGCTGAAGAACTTTGAACATATGAAAAAATTAAAATCTAAATAAATATTAAATAATGTATCCACTAGCCCATACATACTCAGACACAACACGCATATGATTATTAAAGTCACTGACTGATGTAGATATATGGTAAATAGTTCATATTAAATTTTGTATGCTTTTTCTATCACAATGCCTGCTCACAAGATTGTAGTCCATCAGTATGAAAGATTCCCTAACTTTTACTTATTAAAAGTTTTCTTATACTAGCAACAATTCTTATCATGTGACGATTTTTATTTTTCAAACTTTTGTTTTCAAATAAAAGAACATCAAACCATTATTTTTATCAAAATTTAAGTTAAAAAAAGTCAAACATTTATCTTTTTTCGAATTTCGACTTATATTACAAAAATATGTGCAATAAATGAAAAGATATTAGATCTAAATCCTGTCTTAATTTTTCTTCCTGTTGAATATTGTCGAACCATCTTGATACATGGATATATTGAGCTTTTTCTTGTTGACTTAATCCTTTCTGTGAAGAAATAAGATATGAATATTATACAAATCATTGTTTAGAATTTGTAAAAAACAAAGCATTATATAAATTGATTGTTACCATTATAGAATATAAGACGTAATACAGTGTGACATCTGCAATGGTCTTCTCTGTACCAGTTATATAGGGTACATCTTTCAATACTGTATTTAGTTCCTACAATCAAAGGACATCGATATTCGATTTTCTGTCTACTTTAAGTATAGACAAGTATCATGACATTACATTGAATACTCTCTTGGCATTAACAGGAAGATCAGCTTGATTGACGCATACTGCAACATATTCTAACCATTGTTGCGTTAGAGCCTGCACTTCCTTTTCGCTAGAGAGCATATTGGAACATTTTGAACTTGCAACTAGTGCTTGTATAATAGTACTGAACCCTTGAATGGGTGTCGAATTTTTTTCACATTCTGGAACAAGTATTATCTGAAACAATAATCATATGTGTCTTAATGTATCAATTAATTTCAGAAAAATTTGTTAATTTTTTATCGTTATTTTTAATTTGTCATCCTGCGAGGGAACATTTTCTTTCATGAAAAATTAACAATTTAATTAACTTTTACAAACATACATGGGGAGCAAAGTTATCACGCTTCAGACGCTGATTAAATAAATAATAATGCTCACATTTTTATTAGAAATCTCTAGCCTTTTTGAAGGAACATCGAGATATTGCGCTATTCTTTCTACACATTCAACATTACACAACCCCATTATAAATATATATAATGCGAGAATAATATGCGAGTCGTGACACGAGAGCTGTAACAAACCGTTAGAGATTCGCCATGTGTAATGTTCTCTCGATATCGCAAATCGCAATAACTAAAAAGAAAAATTGCCTCGAATGTTTCGAGAATCGCAATATCGTTCTTCGATAAATTTCAAATTATGAGTCGATGAATCATTCTCGAATCGTTCCAAATTTGTTGTAGCTAATATTCTAAAATAAAGTAATCTCTCATGCAAAGAATTGTCAGGAGTCTAATAATATTTAATGACAGGTTAGAATTTTGTCAGAGCGTTCCATCGAATGATCAAGTTTTTTTAGAATAATTTGATAAAGCCAGATCTAGAGTAAGCGAACGAGGGAGAGCATAGACGATCGCAAATGATTATCGAATTTATATAAAATTATTAATTAAATAACTAGCTTCTTTACTGATATTCATCCGTGATCGTTCGCTTGATTTAAATCGGGCTTAAAAAACGCAAAATATTCATGCATAAGTACCGTCATATCTTTAATGAGAGGCAATGAGAATATAGCCATCATTATAAAATATCGCGAAGTAAAGACGACAGGGATTTATTCGAAACAAATGACGTGATACATGTACAAATGGCATCCAGTTGTATGCGCCCCAGGCTCAATGATTCATTATACAAAATACGCTGCTAATTGTGCCATTTTATCCTTCGGCGGTTTTGGTTTGCCTCGATTACGACTCTTGGCGTGACCTCGACCACGCGTGACGACTGGTTTCGAAGCTACCGCACGATGCTTTTCTACCAGCGCGGCGAAGACTGGTGTACAAAATACACAACCGGACATTTCGGTCGCCTCGTTAGGTAGTTTACTCTTATCCTGAAATAAGAAGAAAAAAATACAATAGAGCATATAAAAGAGCGGGGTTTCTGTCGACGATTCCACCGCGTTATACATAGAAGATATAGGAAGCATAGACTGCTTCAATCAATCTGCATCATAAGTAATAGTATCCGTCTGAATGAAAACAATAGAGCTACTTAACAAAAGTCGCTATTATTTTTTAATAGACATAGATATGTTATTAAGAAACACGTTTGCCCTTTCTATTTTAGAAAGAAAATATAATTTGTTAAATATCGCTATCTCTTTTGTTGCGTTGCAATCATGATCTAATTCACTTACGAGCAATCTATGACGCAAGATTCTATTATTACCTGTTTGTATTCGACGGTTACTAATTGCGCGCCGCAGTCGCACGTGTCAGTATCGACTGTCACTTTGTGTGCGTTCTCGAATAGATGGATAATAACGTCGCAACGGTTACATCCCAATTTCCACTTGGGCGCGGCCGAAGGATCGAGCACGAGGATACCTAGATCGCATTCTAAACAGCTGGACAAGCCATTCGAATTCATACCGTGTGGACACGTCGGATGTGTGCATGAATTGCAACCGCTCATTCCTTTTTTCATATCCCTAAAAAAGATAGAAAAAGGATTCTCAGTTCTCTTTTTAGATAGATTTTTTTACATTCGATTATTTGAGATTAATGGGGTACCTGAACGGTGGATTGTTGTAACAGTATGGGCAAAATGTATAACTTTTCCCTCGCGCTCCGGTCGACCATGAAAGCAATTCAAAATCATCCAATGGGCATTTTAATTCTTTATATATTCGTATGTTTCCATTTTGAGGTAAATTATAAGTTTCGTTACAATGTGCGCAATGCATCCTGGATGGTTTAGTTTGTATATATTTCATATATCGACGACATTTACCGCATCTGTGATATATATAGACAATTAAAAGATGTAAATATGTAAATTTATATAAATTAAAAAAAAAAAGAACATGTAATACGGTTCTTGTCGTGATTATTGTTGTATATACCTGGAGTGTGCTTTGCCGGATGCCGACAATGGAGAGAATGAGACTTCAAACAACTGATCCATAGCTTCTATGCTTTGCACAAAATAATGAAACTTTTGTTTAAATATTTCCACAGTATGTTGTAAAACAGCATGAAAATCAGCGCGACCTAATGCTATTAGATTCAATTGCTCTTCCACTGCAGTTCTCATTGTGGGCAAAACTAATTCAGGATCTATCTAACGAGAAGCGAATATATATCTTATAGAAATGTATTATTATCAGTATCACAAATCGAAATCAATGATACCTTCTGATATCCGTGAACCAAAACGATCCCAAGAGAAGTGGGCACTAATTTTCTACCTGCTGCGACAGTGACATAGTTTCTAATACAAATATTATTTATATGTACAGGAATTGAAGCATCCGTTCCGATGCCATGTTTTTCCATGAGAGATATCAATTCCGCTTCTGTTAAATAATCTGGTGGTTGTGTATAACATTCGACTAATTTTGCCTGTAATAGTAAAAAGAGGCGCTCTATCATAAGTTACAATATTCTCTTTTTAATAACCGTAAACAGAGAAATTAATACAAGTACATGATAAAGATATTTCTTACCTCTTGTATGTTTACTTTTTCATCGAGCGTAAACTTTGGCAGAGTGTCGCTATTGCCAAGTGCTTGCCAAGTAAGAATACTTGTGTATCCAGGACTTAGCAAACTATGACCAGTTGTTGTAAATGTTTCTATGCCTATCTCGAATTTTATTGTAGTGCTCATATATTTACAATCTCGCGCCAGCTGTAGAAACAGAGAGAGAAAGTATGTTTATAAGTTACTATTCTATCTCAAAGTTTCACAAATACTTTGACTTAAGCATACCGTAGCAATGAAATGTCGCGTTATGTAATCGTATAATCTCCATGAATCGCCATCGAGTTCGTTTCTCGTTGCATGTTTCATGGGTGTTATAGGGGGATGATCGCCTGCATCATGACCTTTCTTTGGTCTGTTAATACCGGCCGCTATTATTTTACGAACTTCCTCGCCCCAATCCGGGCTATTTTGCTGTTGTTTCAATGTTGAACTTGAAAAAAATAAAATTATATTAAAAGCAAATCGCCTCATGTATATGTGTAGAATAACGATTGATTATCGATTCTACAAGCTATATCTTACAGCAAATCAAAATTCTCAGGATACGATGTCGTTTCTGTTCGCGGATAACTTATGTATCCTTGAGTGTAAAGTCTTTCTGCAATTTGCATTGCGTGTTGTGGACCCATTCCTAATCCAGAACTTGCAGTTCGCATCAACTCCACTGTATTTAAAGCTATAGGTCGCGATTTTGATTTCTCCGTACTTTGTATACTCACTACACTATACAAGATTTCATTTTGAATATTTTATAATCTTTTTAATTTATACTAAGATTTTAAGAATGTATAAAGTACAACTCACGTTGCGCGATCATGTTCTTTAACGTGACTTAGAAACATGTTTGCAACCTCTTTGTCAAAAGAACGTACACGACTCCAATTTAATACAATGTCCTGACCATCGGAAGACTTAATATTTACCTAAAAATAATATGAAAAAATTATATTATATTATTATTAATACAAAGTATGTTTTTTAAAGTATATATATATATATATATATATCATTATATACTTGTAAAACCCAATATGGATCTGGTTTGAAAGTTTGGATTTCATCATGCCTTTGAACACAAAATCCTAATGTTGGTGTTTGGCATGGGCCGTAAGAAATAAGAGATACATCCAAATCTCCATATTTGCCCTAAAAACGTGTAATAACATATATTGCAATATTTTATTAGCACAATGTAAAAACGCAAAAACATTTATATAAAAACTCACTTGAAAAAATTTAGTTTGATATCGTGTAAATGCACAACCTATTCGCAAATCCAACTCCTGACGCGCATCGACGCTTTTCGCCTCATTTTCATTGGGTTTGATCAGATTTGCCAAAGCAGATTTTATATCCTTTTCTGTGATAGCGGAAAATCGTGCTCGCCATATATCCTATAAAAGATAAAATTGTGAGACTTTGTTCAAATAAAAAAGATCTAAGAGAAAATTGAAAAGCTTTAATATTAAAATAGATAATATTTAAGCAACTTGCATTTATGTGTAATTTCCTATGCATTCCTTGCTGTACCGCATTTATAACTTCAAAACAAATATTTTCACCTTCCTTGTCACAATCTAGCCATAATATTAAATAATCACAATGCGTTCCTTCCTTTGCCAGGAAATATGGTACTTTTAGTTTAGGTACTGCTTCTTTTTTCTCAGTTGAACATGAGAATAATTCTGCCTGAAAGTATTAAAAAATATCCAGTTATCATTAGATGCACAATAACAAGAATTGAAAAATATAATATATCTAATTTTACCGGATCCACTTTGTCCCAATTGTTGTATTTCCCAATAAAATCCAATGTCATGACGTGTCCACATACAGAGGTCATTTTATAATTCACCGTCTCAGATTTGAATTGTCCCACCCATTCGTGGACGGAACAAGATCCGTTCAATCCTAGAAATAATATTCATAAAAAAAAGGAAGTATGAAAGAGAGAAAATAATTTGATTTGTATCAACCCACCTTTCCTGGTGCTACATCGTCCATTGCTCAATATATTTGCGAGGGATGCTGCCAAAGAGGGTTTTTCGGCTACCATCAAAGCGGTTTTCATTTTGCTACGATATTTCGTTCATATATTCTCATTAAACAATGAAAGATTTCGATTAGCGTCGTCTCTGGCATCGCAATTTAAATGAAGACATCATCACTTGTCAGATGTCAGATCTTGGCACTGACGAGATATATGTGTATACTAAAGAAGGCCGACTTTACAAAATTAGCCTGACTGTGGAAAAATTCGTTGTGATCTACTGTAGATAAGTAGATTTTTTCATTATCGGTAAAGAATATAAATTCACGTAATTATCTTCGATCGCTAATGTCATGATCTTCAATTATCTTCGGACCTATCGAGCCCACTTGAAAATTTCATCATGGCTGATCGTCTTCAACCACCGACGAAGTGCTACATATTTTATTTTTATTTTGAGATTATTTGATTTAAACAGAGCAGCATAGTTTTTCGATACCACGAAAAGTCAGTAAAGAATTTTTAATAAACTTGAGTTCGTATACAATTTCTGTGAAAAGGAAAAATATAAGTATTATGTATATTTTGTGTGAGCT